TAGAGGTTGCAAGGTGGAAGCCTGGGGCGGGTGCGCGAGTGGCTCAACCTGCTGCGAGGCGAGAAGCTGAGGCCTGCGGCCACCGCACTTGAGGAACTCAGAGGCCTCGGTCTTTGGGTCCAGGGGAGAAACTGAGGTCCGGGGGAACAATGCGGACTCCAATAGGCAACAGCCTCGCGCAGACACAGGTGGAGTCAAAACGCTCCAGCTGGCCTCAGTTGCTAAAGAATTAACTCCCACCCTCCCGGGCGGCCCTCGACTGATTCCGTGATTGGACCGTAGCGGAGCCCGCCAGCCAATGATAAGAGTCCCATTTATTTCACCCTCAACCAATCGATAACAAGCTGCTGCATTCCCGCACCAACCAATCCGTATTAACTGTCTGATTACACCAACTCGGATTTGACCAATGGGCAGACGTCCACATAAGCCAATCAGCAGAAACCCTTACTTCAGAGCGCAAACCATCAGAGGCAGGGACCGGACTTACCAGCCAATCAGCTCCGGGTATAAGGCCAGCCGAGTCCAGCCCTCCATACCCTTGGGCGGAGCAGGGGGCGGGGCCGGGCTGGTTGCGCGCCGGATCAGTGTAGCCCCGGCCTTTGTCATCTACCTTGTTTAGGGAAGTTCGTCCTCGACCCTGTCCTGGGACCTTCGTCCCCAAGCCTGAGCGCTGGGATTTCCCTCAGTCCCTGGCAGGGCTGAAAGTCCAGGATGGGGACTTCCTAAAGCTCCGGGACGCCGTGGGATGGGCTCAAATACGGGTGGCTTTGCCCAGACCGCAGTCGGGAAGTGGGAACTGGACAGTAGGGGTGCGAGGGAATGTTCTCAGGAAGAAGACTTAACATAGAGCAAGAGCTGGGTACATGTGAACTATTGTTGTTATTATTATTATTGTTCAGCCCAGGCACCCTTTAGGGGCCCCACCCTGACTGTCCAGCCAACAACGGGCATCCCCAAGGCCTCCAGACTCAGCATGGCCCAAACCGGCCTCAGTTTATTTCCCCAAGTCCTTACACACATTCTCTTTGGCTTTTGCCCGTCCCCCGCCTTCCAAAACCCTGAGCCACACCTCCAGCCTCTTGCACCCGAATCCTGGCCAAATCCTGGCCCTCGCAATGGGTCTCAGGCCTGCAAACTCATGCCCCACCCTGTCGATCTTCCACCGTTGCCCCAGAGGGCTCTTTCTAAGATGCACCTGTTACCACTGTTACCACCTCCCTCCCATATTATTATTTTTTCTTTTTTCTTTTCTCTTTTATTTATTTATTTATTTTTTTTTTTGAGACGGAGTCTTGCTCTGTTACCCAGACTGGAGTGCAATGGCAAGATCTTGGCTCACTGCAACCTCCACCTCCCAGGTTCAAGCGATTCTCCTACCTCAGCCTCCCAAGTAGCTGGGACTACAGATGCACGCCACGACACCCAGCTAATTTTTGTAATTTTAGTAGAGAAGGGGTTTCACCATGTTTGCCAGGCTGGTCTCGAACTCCCAACCTCGGGTGATCCACCTGCATCAGCCTCCCAAAATGCTGGGATTACAGGTGTGAGCCGTTGCGCCCAGCCTATTTTCTTTTCTTTTGGAGACAGGGCCTTGCTTTGTCTCCCAGGCTGGAGTGCACTGGTGCAAGCATGGCTCACTGCAGCCTTGGCCTCCTGGGTTCAAATGATCCTCTTGCCTCAGCCTCCAGAGTAGCTGAGACAACAGGCGTGACCACCATGCCTGGCTAATTTTTAATATTTTTGTAAGAGAAGGGGATCTCACTATGTTACCCATGCTGGTCTCCAAGTCCTGGCCTTAAGCAATCTTCCCACTCAGGCTCCCAAAGTGTTTGGATTACAGGTGTTAGCCACCACACCCTGCCCGCCTCCCATGCTCTAAATCCTCCTGTGGCTCCACATTGCCTTAGACAAATACAATGAAAACTAACGGCCCTGGCTGGCCGCGGTGGCTCCCGCCTGTAATCCCAGCACTTTGGGATCACTTGAGATCAGCAGTTTGAGACCAGCCTGACCAACATGGTGAAACCCCATTTCTACTAAAAATTTAAAAATTAGCTGGGGGGTGGTGGCGGGCACCTGTAATCCCAGCTACTCCAGATGCTGAGGCAGGAGAATCGCTTGAACCTGGGAGGTGGAGGTTGCAGTGAGCCGAGATCATGCCATTGCACTCCAGCCTGGGCAAAAGAAGCGAAACCCTGTCTGAAAAAAATAAAAAAAAACAAAGATAAAACGAAACAAAAATGAACTCACTGACCTTACTTAGTATAGCTGATACTATCAACTTGAACAGACAGTACAGTGGATGAACATATTGCCCATAGTCCCACGGCCTTTCTGTGGTTTCTAGAACACCTCTTCTGCTATGTATACAAAGTCTAGCCCTGGTAACTATTAAGGAAATTGAATTTTTAATTTAAAAACTCCCAACAAAGCAATCTCTAGGCCCGGATGGTTTCATTAAGTAATTCTGCCACAGGTTGAAAGAAGAATTAACACCAATTTCACATAGTCTCTTCCAGAACATTGAAGGGGATATTTCCCTGTTCATTTTATGGAACTATGACCCTGATACCAAAACCAGGTTTTGGTATCCTTAACAAAATATTAGAAAGTAGAATTCAACAATATATCAAATGAATGATACACCATGACAAGTGGGGTTTACTCCAGGGACCCAAGACTGGTTCAGTATTCAAAAATTCATCAGTTGGCCGGGCGCGGTGGCTCAAGCCTGTAATCCCAGCACTTTGGGAGGCCGAGACGGGCGGATCACGAGGTCAGGAGATCGAGACCATCCTGGCTAACCCGGTGAAACCCCGTCTCTACTAAAAAATACAAAAATCTAGCCGGGCGAGGTGGCGGGCGCCTGTAGTCCCAGCTACTCGGGAGGCTGAGGCAGGAGAATGGCGTGAACCCGGGAGGCGGAGCTTGCAGTGAGCTGAGATCCGGCCACTGCACTCCAGCCTGGGCGACAGAGCGAAACTCCGCCTCAAAAAAAAAAAAAAAAAAAAAAAAAAAAAAAAAAAATTCATCAATTGTCCACCATCTTAAACAGGCTGTGGTAGGCAGAATAATGGTCTCTTAAAGATATCCATGTCCTAATTCCCCAAATCTGTGAATATGTTAGGATACGTGGCAAATGGGTTTGAAGATTAAAGATAGACGCCAGGCACGGTGGCACACACCTGTAACCCCAGCACTTTGGGAGGCCTAGACTGGAGGATCACTTGTGCCTAGGAGTTCAAGACCAGCCTGAGGACCAGGCACACTGGCTCACGCCTGTAATCCCAGCAAATTGGGAGGTTGAAGCAGGTGGATCACAAGTTCAGGAGATTGAGACGATCCTAGCTAACACAGTGAAACCCCATCTCTACTAAAAAAAAAAAAAAATGCAAAAAATGTGCTGGGCATGGTGGCCCGCACCTGTAATCCCAGCTACTCGGGAGGCTGAGGCAAGAGAATTGCTTGAACCCAGGAGGCGGAGGTTGCAGTGAGCCAAGATGGCACCACTGCACTCCAGCCTGGGCAACAGAGCAAGACTCTGTCTCAAAAAAAAAAAAAAAAAAAAGACCAGACCAGCCTGGGCAACATAGCAAAAACCTGTCTCTACTAAGTGAAAAAAAGTAGCTGGGCGTGGTGGCATGCAACTGTAGTAGCACCTACTCTAGAGGCTGAGGCTGGAGGATCACTTGACCCTGGAAGGTCGAGTCTACAATGAGTTATGACAGCCCCCCTGTACTCCAGCCTAGGCAACATGGTGAGAACACATCCTTAAAAACGTAACATAAATGGCCGGGCGCGGTGGCTCACGCCTGTAATCCCAGAACTTTGGGAGGCCGAGGCCGACGGATCATGGGGTCAGGAGATCGAGACCATCCTAGCTAACAAGGTGAAACCCCGTCTCTACTAAAAATACAAAAAAAAAAAAAAAAAAAATTAGCCAGGCGTGGTGGCGGGCGCCTGTAGTCCCAGCTACTCAGGAGGCTGAAGCAGGAGGATGGCGTGAACCCGGGAGGCGGAGCTTGCAGTGAGCCGAGATCTCGCCACTGCACTCCACCCTGGGCGACAGAACAAAACTCTGTGTCAAAAAAAAAAAAGTAAAATAAATTAGTTGAGCCATCGCGCCCGGCCAGCTAACTTTAAAATAGGGAGATTAGCGTGGATGATCCAGGTGGGCCCAATGTAATCATTAGAGTCCATCAAAGTAAGAGAAAGGGCCAAGCGTGGTGTCTCATGCCTGTAATCCCAGCACTTTGGGAGACCAAAGCAGGCGGAAAACTTGGGGTCAGGAATTCGAGACCAGCCTGAGCCAACATGGTGAAACCTCGTCTCTACTACAAATATAAAAATTAGCCAGGCGTGGTGGCAGGCACCTGCAATCCAAGCTAGTCAGGAGATTGACGCAGGAGAATCTCTTGAACCCGGGAGGCAAAGGTCACAGTGAGCCAAGATTGCACCACTGCAGTCTAGCCTGGGCAACAGAGTGAAACTCTGTCTCAAAATAGAATAAATAAATAAATAAATAAATAAATAAATAGACAGACAATGTATCTCTCTTTGCAGATATAGCCAAGATTATTCTCCCATTCAAGTAAACTTATACATTCTTGGCTGAGTGCAGTGGCTCACGCCTGTAATCCCAGCACTTTGGGAGGTCAAAGCAGTTGGATCACAAAGTCAGGAGATTGAGACCATCCTGGCTAACACAGTGAAACCCCGTCTCTACTGAAAATACAAAAAATTAGCCAGGCATGGTGGCGGGCGCCTGTAGTCCCAGCTACTTGGGAGGCTGAGGCAGGAGAACGGTGTGAACCCGGGAGGTGGAGCTTGCAGTGAGCCGAGATTGTGCCACTGCACTTCAGTCTGGGCGACAGAGCAAGATTCTGTCCAAAAAAAAAAAAAGTAAACGTATACATTTTCTTTCTTCTTGGTTCCATGCCAGAGAGGCGGGGATTTCCCTAGGATCATGGACCTGCCCGGCTCAGCCTCTGCCCAGCCCTGGCAGGGGAGGGAGTTGACGGGCTGACATAGGAAACTCCCCTGGAACCTGTTTCTCAGCTTTCTGGCCCAGCTGGGGCACCCGCTGGAAGGAGAGGCCAGGCGGAAGACCCTGGCCCTGCCATGGCCTCTGCCGTGAGGCCACCCCGGGTCCCCAAGCCTAAGGGTGTCCTGCCTTCACACTACTATGAGAGCTTTCTAGAGAAGAAGGGGTCCTGTGACCGGGTAAGGTAGGGAGGCGGGGGCTGGCCCTGTTGGGAGCTGCAGCACCTCTCTGAGCCCCAGTCTCCTCACTCGCCAAGAGGGGTGCGGTGGGTGCTGGATGGGGCAGGGCGCGGGCTGGGGACTGGCGCGGGTTCTGGCCATCTGCCTCTCTGTGCTTCTATCTCTGTTTCCATGTGTCTTTCGTTTCTTTTTCTCTTTCTCTCTCCCTGGCCCTTCTGTCTCTCCCAACGTCCGTCTCAGTCTCTCTCTCTCTTTGTCTCGATCTTTGCTTTTGTCTCTCGTTCACTCTCCTGAATACAAACAAGATCAGGCACTTTCTCCAGGAAACGAGGAGCCCTCTGACTCCCGGGCTTCCTCCTGCTCCCAGCCCAGGACAAACTCCGGGAACCTCAGCTGCTGGGGTGAAGGCCGGGACAGGTGACATGTGAGGACAGTAAGAGCTGGTGGGGGCCACATTCCACAGGACAGATAGGGGCCATGGACAGTGCGTGCATGTGTGTGTGTGCTTATGTCTCCCCCAGCCTCTCCGTTCTCCCTGAGGCCCCATCTCTCCTTCCCCATGCCCCACTTCATTTTCTTTCTTTTTTTTAAAGACAGAGTTACACTGTCACCCAGGCTGGAGTGCAGGGGCATGATCATGGCTCACTGTAGCCTCAAACTCCTAGGCTCAAGTGAACCTCCTGCCCCAGCCTCCTGGGGAACTGGGACTACAGGCGTGCACCGCCTCTTCTGGCTAATTTTTTGGCCTAATTTTTCTGACCTAATTTTTTTTTTTTTTTTTTTTTTAAAGATGGGGTCTTGCTGGCCGGGTGCAGTGGCTCATGCCTGTAATCCCAGCATTTAGGGAGGCCGAGGCGGGTGGATCACCTGAAGTCAGGAGTTCGAGACTGGCCTGGCCACCACGGTGAAACCCTGTCTCTACTAAAAATACAAAAATTAGCCATGTGTGGTGGTGTGCGCCTGTGATCCCAGTTACTTGGGAGGCTGAGGCAGGAGACTCACTTGAACCCAGGAGGCAGAGGTTGCAGTGAGCCGAGACTGTGCCACTGCACTCCAGGCTGGCAACAGAGCGAGACTACGTCTAAAAAAAAAAAAAAAAAAAAAAAATTTGGGGGTCTTGCTATGTTGCCCAGGCTGGTCTCAAATTCCTGGCCTTAAGCAATCCTCCTGCCTCAGCCTCCCAAAGTGCTGGGATTAGAGGTGTGAGCCACCGTGCCTGCCTCATTTTCTGATACAGATCAAAACAAACACCCCAGCTCCTCCCTGCCCTGCCCATGTCCCCGCCTCTGCCCCTGAGGTCCCCTTACCTGTAGTGGAGTGGACTTTCCTTCTACCTCCATGCATCCAAATCCTCCCCAACCAGCAAACACTTTGGAGGCAGTGGATCACTGCAGTTAAGAAAGATAACAGGGAAGGCTGGGCACAGTGGCTATGCCTGTAATCCCAGCACTTTGGGAGGCCGAGGTGGGCAGATCACCCGAGGTCAGGAGTTCGAGACCAATGTGGCCAACATGGTGAAACCTCGTCTCTACTAAAAAATACAAAAATTAGCCAGGCGTGGTGGCAGGCGCCTTAATCCCAGCTACTTGGGAGGCAGAGGCAGGAGAATCATTTGAACCTGAGAGGCGGAGGTTGCAGTGAGCTGAGATGGTGCCACTGTACTTCAGCCTGGGTAACAGAGTGAGACTCTGTCTCAAAAAAAAAAAAAAAAGAAGGCCAGACGCAGTGGCTCACACCTGTAATCCCAGCACTTTGGGAGGCCGAGGCGGGCGGATCACCAGGTCAGGAGATCGAGACCATCCTGGCTAACACGGTGAAACCCCGTCTCTACTAAAAATACAAAAAATTAACCGGGCGTGGTGGCAGGCACCTGTAGTCCCGGCTACTCAATTGGTTGAGGCAGGAGAATGGCGTGAACCCAGGAAGCAGAGCTTGTAGTGAGCCGTGATCATGCCACTGTACTCCAGCCTGGGTGATAGAGTGAAACTCTGCCTCCAAAACAAAACAAAACAAAACAAAAAACCCAAAACAAAACAAAACAAAAAAACGAAAACAAAAAAGATCATGGACCCGAATTCAGAAGACCCAGGTTCTAATCCCGGCTCCACACTTTCCTTACTCCCAGGCCTTTTGCAAGTGACTTAATCTTTGAGTCTCAGTTTTTTGTCTTCGGAAATAGGGGAGTTAGGGCTGTAGTCACAGTTCACATGTTGAGGACTCGACTCAGCGCAGGCCCCGGTGCTTCCCATGTGGAAAGTCACCTAATTCTCATGAGATCCTCCAGACTTGGCACCATTGTTATCACCATTTTACAGCTGGGGAAACAGAAAAAGATGGCTCAAATAACTTGTCCAACAGCACATCATGGGTACATAGTAAAGCAATATGGTAACTGGTAATACGGTGTTTAATCCCGTATTGCTCTAGTCCCAGGGCCTGGAGGAGGGCTAGCACATAAAAAGCCTTCAGTAAATGTTAGGTAAATGCCTGTGGGTACCTGTGCGTGTGTCTACGGATGGACAGGTGGATGAGTAGATGGGGGGATGAGTGGAGGCTTGGTGAATGGATAGATGCGGGCTGGATGGTGGCTGAGAGGATGTGTGGATGGATGGACGAGTGCATATACAAGTGGGTGGATGATGGATGGATGGACAAGTGCATGGATGGATGATAGATGGGTGAGTAGGTGGATGCATGATGGAGGGATGTATGGATGGATGAGTGGATGGTTGGCTGGCTGGATGGATGGATGAACGGGCAGATGGGTGGGTGGATGGATGATGGATAGATGGACGAGTGCATGGATGGATGATGGAGGGATGGATGAGCAGATGGATGCATGATGGAGGGATGTATGGACAGATGGGTGGATGGTTGGCTGGCTGGATGGATGGATGGATGAATGGGCAGATGGGTGGGTGGATGGATGATGGATAGATGGACAAGTGCATAGATGGATGATGGAGGGATGAGTAGATGGATGGATGAGTGAATGGATGGATGATGGAGGGATGCATGGATAGATGAGTAGATGCATGTATGGATGCATGGATGAGTGGGTGGATGGATGATGGACGGTGGGTGGATTGATGGATGGATAGATGATGTAGGGATGGATGGATGGACGGATGGGTGGACAGATGGATGAGTGGGTGGATGGATGACTGGATGGATGGTGGGTGATGTATGTATGGATGGATGAGTGGGTGGATGGTGAGTGGATGGATAGATGAATGGATTGTTGAATGGTAGGTGGATGGATGAATGGGTGGGCGGGTGGGTGGATGAATAACTGGATGGTATACAAGTGGGTGGATGATGGATGGATGGACAAGTGCATGGATGGAATGGATGGGTGAGTAGGTGGATGCAATGATGGAGGGATGTATGGATGGATGAGGATGGTTGGCTGGAAGCTGGATGGATGGATGAACGGGCAGATGGGGTGGGTGGATGGATGATGGATAGATGGACGAGTGCATGGATGGATGATGGAGGGATGGATGAGCAGATGGATGCATGATGGAGGGATGTATGGACAGATGGGTGGATGGCTGGCTGGCTGGATGGATGGATGAGTTATGGATGATGGATGAATGGGCAGATGGGTGGGTGGATGGATGATGGATAGATGGACAAGTGCATTAGGATGGGATGATGGTGGAGGGATGAGTAGATGGATGGATGAGTGAATGGATGGATGATGGAGGGATGCATGGATAGATGAGTAGATGCATGTATGGATGCATGGATAAGTGGGTGGATGGATGATGGACGGTGGGTGGATTGATAGATGGATGGATAGATGATGTAGGGATGGATGGATGGACGGATGGGTGGACAGATGGATGAGTGGGTGGATGGATGACTGGATGGATGGTGGGTGATGTATGTATGGATGGATGAGTGGGTGGATGGTGAGTGGATGGATAGATGAATGGATTGTTGAATGGTAGGTGGATGGATGAATGGTATGGGTGGGTGATGAATAACTGATGGATAGATGTGTGGATGGGTGGGTGGGTGGATGGATAGATGTGTGGATGGGGGGGTGGGTGGACGGATTGGTGGATGGATGGTGGGTGGATGGATGGATAGATGAATGGGTGAATGGTAGGTGGATGGATAAATGGGTGGGTGGGTGGATGGATGGATAGATGAACAGGTGAATGGTAGGTGTAGGATGGATGAATGGTACGGTGGATGGATGGATGGATAGATGAATGGGTGAATGTAGATGGATGGATGAATAGGTATGGTGGTGGATGAATAACTGGATGGATAGATGTGTGGATGGGTGGGTGGGTGGACGGATTGGTGGATGGATGGATGGATGGATAGATGAATGGGTGAATGGGTGGGTGGGTAGATGGATAGATGGATGACAGATAGATGGCTAGTGGGTAGCTGGATGATGGAAGATGGATGGGACACCATTAAACCAGTTAGGTCAACTCACCCCTAGAGCCCCCATCTCTATAGATTAGCGGGGGTTGCTCTGGGTCCTTCATCACATCAAGGTTCCGTCTGGTCCTTTCTCAGAGGAAAACAGATACCTAGAAGCTGGGCTGTAGGTGGGGAGGGTCTCCCCGAGAAAGCAACATTTGATCAGAAACTCAAGGCAGGAGGTGATCAAGATCTGGGGGCAGTGTGGGAGAGCACGATCAGTGCAAAGGCCCCGAGGCAGGACTAAGTACGTGAGAGGTACTCAGCCTGGCCACCTCACCTCTTCTTTCTGCACCTCTGGTCCCCAGGATTACAAGAAGTTCTGGGCAGGCCTCCAGGGACTCACCATTTATTTCTACAATAGCAATCGGGACTTCCAGGTAAGGATGGGAATGGAGGCTCCAGAGCTGGCCTTCCCTTGACCCCAGAGACCAAGCAGACAATGAGGATGGTGTGGCCATGATAGCTGCTACATCATCCAGGGCCCCTGGAGGCCAAGGAACTGGTGCCCAGACCCCCTGCTTCTGTGCCCCCAGCACGTGGAGAAGCTCAACCTGGGAGCATTTGAGAAACTCACTGATGAGATTCCCTGGGGAAGCTCACGTGACCCTGGCACCCACTTCAGCCTGATTCTCCGGAATCAGGAGATCAAGTTCAAGGTAGGTCCCTCGGTGGAGGGGTGCTGAGGGGAGGTGCTGGCAGAAGATGCTCAAATGCCCCTCCCCTCCACTGTGCCAACCACAAAGGGGCAGGTAGTACAGGGCCCTGTGGGCCCTGGGTAAGACTTGGGTCTTGACCCCAAAGGAGCTGGTGCTATGGGAGGGTTTATTTTATTTTATTTCATTTTTTTTTTTTTGAGACCAAGTCTCATCCTGTCACCCAGGTTGGAGTGCGATGGCACGATCTTGGCTCACTGCAACCTCTGCCTCCCGGATTCAAGCGATTCTCTTGCCTCTGCCTCCCAAGTAGCTGGGATTACAGGTGTGTGCCACCACTCCTGGCTAATTTTTTGAATCTTTAGTAGAGACGGGGTTTCACCATGTTGGCCATGCTGGTCTCAAACTCCTGACCTCAGGTGATCCACCCACCTCGGCCTCCCAAACTGCTGGGATTACAGGCATGAGCCACCGCGCCCAGCTGAGGGTTTATTTATTTTTTTTATTTTGAGACAGTTTCACTCTTATCGCCCAGGCTGGAGTGCAATGGTGCAATCTTGGCTCACTACAACCTCTGCCTCCCAGGTATAAGTGATCCTCCTTAGTAGCTGGGATTACTAGGCGTGTGCCACCATGTGTGGCTAATTTTTGTATTTTTGGTAGAGACAGGGTTTCACCATGTTGGCCAGGCTGATCTTGAACTCCTGACCTCAAGTGATCCGCCCACTTTGGCCTCCCAAAGTGCTGGGATTACAAGCGAGTCACTGTGCCTGGCCTATGGAAGGGTTTAGAGCATGACAGGTCTGGGAACTGATCTATGTTTTTCTATTATTTTATTTTATTTATGATTTTATTTTGAGACAGGGTCTTGCTCGTCGCCCAGGCTGGAGTGCAGTAATGAGATCACAGCTCACTGCAGCCTGGACCTCCCAGGCTCAAGCAATCCTCCCACCTCAGCCAAGCACACTCCACTATGCCTGGCTAAGACTTTATTTTTTGTAGAGACAGGGGGCTCGCTATGTTACCCAGTCTGGTCTTGAACTCCTAGGCTCAAGTGATCCTCCCGCCTCGACCTCCCAAAATGCTGGGATTATAGGGGTGAGCCACTGCATCCAGCCTGACCTATGTGTTTCAAATGTAGATCTAATAACATAAAAAATGATAACATCAGCCAGGCATGGTGGCTCATACCTGTAATCTGAGCACTTTGGGAGGCCAAGGCAGAAGGATAGCTTGAGCCCAGGAGTTCAAGACCAGCCTGGGCAACAAAGTGAGACCCTCATGTCTAAGAGAAAAAAAAAAAAAAAAAGCTGGGCGAGGTGGTGCATGCCTATAGTCCCAGCTACTCAGGAGGCTGAGGCAGGAGAATCACTTGAACCCAGGAGGTGGAGGTTGCACTTAGCTGAGATCATGCCACTGCACTCCAGCCTGGGCGACAGAATGAGACTGCATCTCAAAAAAAAAAAAAAAAAAAAAAAAAAAGAAGAAGAAAAAGAAAAAAGAAAACAGCCCTTTGAAGCAGGGACTCTTCCCTAGTCCCATTTGATTGATGAGTAGACTGAGGTTCACTGACATGGATTCTTTTCTTTCTTTTGTTCCCTAGGTAGAGACCTTGGAGTGTCGGGAAATGTGGAAAGGCTTCATCTTAACGGTGGTGGAGGTAAGAGCAGTGGCTCTCTGCGCCCTCTGTCCCATTCTCCAGATCTCCTCAAAAAGCTTCCTTTTGGCCAGGTGTGGTGGCTCAAGCCTGTAATCCCAGCACTTTGGGAGGCCAAGAAGGGCGGATCACGAGGTCAGGAGATGGAGACCATCCTGGCTAACACGGTGAAACCCCGTCTCTACTAAAAAATCCCACTTTGGCCTCCCAAAGTGCTGGGATTACGTTTGTGTCACTGTGCTCGGCCTATGGAAGGGTTTAGAGCATGACAGGTCTGGGAACTGATCTAAGTGTTTATTGCACCGTTCAACAACCATGCAAAAAAAAAAAAAAAAAAAAAAAAAAAAAAAGAAGAAGAAAAAGAAAAAAGAAAACAGCCCTTTGAAGCAGGGACTCTTCCCTAGTCCCATTTGATTGATGAGTAGACTGAGGTTCACTGACATGGATTCTTTTCTTTCTTTTGTTCCCTAGGTAGAGACCTTGGAGTGTCGGGAAATGTGGAAAGGCTTCATCTTAACGGTGGTGGAGGTAAGAGCAGTGGCTCTCTGCGCCCTCTGTCCCATTCTCCAGATCTCCTCAAAAAGCTTCCTTTTGGCCAGGTGTGGTGGCTCAAGCCTGTAATCCCAGCACTTTGGGAGGCCAAGAAGGGCGGATCACGAGGTCAGGAGATGGAGACCATCCTGGCTAACACGGTGAAACCCCGTCTCTACTAAAAAATAGAAAAAACTAGCCGGGCGAGGTGGCGGGCGCCTGTAGTCCCAGCTACTCGGGAGGCTGAGGCAGGAGAATGGCGTAAACCTGGGAGGCGGAGCTTGCAGTGAGCTGAGATCCGGCCACTGCACTCCAGCCTGGGCAACAGAGTGAGACTCCGTCTCAAAAAAAAAAAAAAAAAAAAAAAAAGGCCTCCTTTTTCTTTCCATCTTTCATTCTCCAAACAAGCCTCCAGAGTATAGTACACTGGCCTCAAACCTTGGACCAAATATATCCCATTTTTGTTTTTTTAGTATACATGGGGTTTCACCCTGTTGGCCAGGCTAGTCTCGAACTCCTAACCTCGAGTGATCCGCCCACCTCGGCCACCTAAAGTGCTGGGATTACAGGTGTGAGCCACAGTGACCAGCTGTATTTCTTATTTTATTTTATTTTATTGTTTTTTTTTTTTTTTTTTTTGAGACAAAGTCTTGCTGTGTCGCCCAGTCTGGAGTGCAGTGGCGCGATCTCGGCTCACTGCAAGCTCCGCCTCCCAGGTTCACGCCATTCTCCTGCCTCAGCCTCCCAAGCAACTGGGACTACAGGCGCCCACCACCACGCTGGGCTAATTTTTTTTGTATTTTAGTAGAGACGGGGTTTCACTGTGTCAGCCAGGATGGTCTTGATCTCCTGACCTCGTGATCCACCCACCTCAGCCTCCCAAAGTGCTGGGATTACAGGTGTGAACCACCACGCCCGGCCTCTTATTTTATTTTTTTGAGACAGGGTCTCTCTCTGTTGCCGAGGCTGGAGTGCAGTGGTGTGATCATAGCTCACTGCAGCCTCCAACTCCCAGGCTCAAGTAGTCCTCCTGCCTCAGCCTCCCAAGTAGCTGGGACTACAGGCACACACTACCACATCTCATTAATTTTTAAAATTTTTTGTAGAGCAGGGTCTCACTATGTTGCCCAGGCTGGTCTCCAACTTCTGTGCTCAAGCGATCCACCCTCCTTGGCCTCCCGAAGTGATGGGATTATAGACGTGAGCCACCATGCCCGGCCACAGAGTGCTAAATTTTTAAAAATTAGCTGACATCATTTATCAACAGGGAATTTTAGTCTACCTTCCCATTTTCCCTCTGATTTACCTGTTTCCTGCCTCGCCCTGGCAGGCCATTGAGTTTGAGACCAGACTGGCCCCTGAAGACTTTAGTTTGAGATTCCAGCATCTACCTTTTTTTTTTTTTTTTTTTTTTTTTTTGGTGGGTGAGGGGAGTGGGGAACGGAGTCTCTCTCTGTCACCTGGGCTGGAGTGCAATGGCGTGATCTCGGCTCACTGCAGCCTCCGCCTTCCCGGGTTCAAGTGATTCTCCTGCCCCAGCCTCCGGAGTAGCTGCGATTACAGGTGTCTGCCACCACGCCCGGCTAATTTTTTGTATTTTTAGTACAAACGGGGTTTCGCCATGTTGCCCAGGGTAGTCTCAAACTCCTGACCTCAGGTGATCTGCCCGCCTAGGCCTCCCAAAGTGCTGGAATTACAGGCGTGAGCCACCGCGCCTAGCCCCAGCATCTACTTTCACTCAACTCCTCTGCACCCTCTCGAAGCCCTCTTTGCCCTCTGAGGTGTCAGAGTTCATGGCTCTGAGCTCTGGCCTCAGTTTGCCACTCTGTGCCTTGGGCACAGCCGTCCATTCCCGGCCGGCCGGGTGCAGTCACTGTCCCTCGATCGCCCCTCAGCTCCGTGTCCCGTCCAACCTGACCCTGCTTCCTGGGCACCTATACATGATGGCTGAAGTCTTGGCCAAAGAGGAGGCGCGCCGTGCACTGGAGACACCCTCGTGAGTGCCCCGCCTGTCCCAAGGGGCTGCAGAATGGGGACGGGAGGTGGGTGTGTGGCTGAGGGTGGGCCGTGAGCTGAGTCCCCTGGAGTTGGGTCTTGGATTTTGCAAGACGATGACATTGGGGATGGGGGGTGGAGAAGGGGGAGGGGGAGTTAAGGCCCATGCTAGGAGGCGGGGCAGGATCTCCAGGAGCGGGTCTAGGGGCCTAGAGGACTGGAAGGGTCTTCAGAGGCGGGGCCTAGGCCTGAGGAGTGGGGACAAGGTCTGGGGGTGGTCAGTCTAGGTGTCTAGAAGGTGGGGCTTCGTCACCGGGGAGGGGTTATTTGTCGGAGAGGGTATCCGGGACCCCAGAGGCGGGGCCTGGATTGGGGGCGGAGCATCGTCTTTGTGGACGGTTCTTGGTGATTAGGAAGGCGGGCAGGGCCTCCGGGGCCAGAATTAGGAGCCTGGCAGGCCCCGGTGGCTTGTGCCTGTCATCTCAGCGTTTTGGGAGGTCGAGGCGGGAGGATTGCTTGACCCCAGTTCGAGACCAGCCTGGGCAACATCGCGAGACCCCGCCTCTAAAGAAAAACAAACAAAAAAAACCCGGTCGGGTGCAGTGGCTCACGCGTGTAATCTCAGCACCTTGGGAGGCCTAAGCGGGCGGATCATCTGAGGTCGGGAGTTCGAGACCAGCTTGAACAACATGCAGAAATCCCGTCTCTACTAAAAATACAAAAATTAGGCGGGTCTAATGGCGCATGCCTATAATCCCAGCTACTCGGGAGGCGGAGGCAGGAGAATCGCTTGAACCTGGGAGGCGGAGGTTGCGGTGAGCCGAGATCGCTCCATTGCACTCCAGCCTGGGCAACAAGAGTTTTGCTCTTGTTGCAAAAAAAAAAAAAAGAAGCCACAAAAACTAGGAGCCTGGAAGGCCAGACTGTGCCTCCGTGGAAGGGGCCTGGGTCTGGAGAGCAGGGCAGGGTCCCCTGGGCCTAGGGGATGGGGACGGGGCTGGGTCTCAGAGGAGGTGGGGTTTACGTGCGGAAGAGCGGACTTGGTCTCCGGGGTCCCGAGTGGGTGACGCGGCCCTCTACAGGTGCTTCCTGAAGGTGAGCCGGCTGGAGGCACAACTGCTCCTGGAGCGCTACCCAGAGTGCGGGAACCTGCTGCTGCGGCCCAGCGGGGACGGTGCTGACGGCGTGTCGGTCACCACGAGGCAGATGCACAATGGGTGCGCATGCGCGTCTCGGGAGCCCTGGGTGGGGAGGAGGGTGGGCGCGGGGGCGTGGTCAGAAGCAGGAGCGGAGCCCTACCTGCTAGTGGGTAGGCCTGGAAACAGAGCCAGAGCTGAGAAGGGCGAGGCGGGGGGGGGAGTCAGAGCGGGGCAGGGCGGGCTGGGGGGCGGGGTCAGCGCTCCGGGGTCGTGGGATCCTGAGGCTGGCCTTGCCCCAGGTACGGGGTCAATGCCTGGGGAAGAAGGTAGAGCCAAGGCAGACCCCTTTGCAGGAGGAGTCAGGTCTTGGGTTAGGAGCTGGGACTCCCTGCAGGTGGAGTCAGACCCCTCGGTTAGGGTCGGCTCCTCCGGAACGTCAGGTACGCAGGGGCCAGGTCTGGGCCACTGGAGGGGATGAAGTCAAATCCAAGGCTGGGAATGGGCTCTTTGGGCAGAGTCAGGATCTATGGGTGGAGTCACGGCCATGACCCTTTGGAGGTTGAATAGGGCTATGGAGGCGGGGCCACTCTGGGGGCGGAGTTAGAGCCTTTTGCCAAATCCTCAAGCCCAGTCCAGGGTTGGGCAAGGCGATGTAGAAGGTGGAGTCGGGGCCGGGGGGTGGAGCCACTACAGGGGGAGGGGCCTACCTGGGGCGGAGTCTTTAGGGCCTGGTTCGCCCTAGGCGCGGTGCCAGAATTAGGGGCTGACCTTTCCCAGACTGTTGTCAGTCTGGCCTGGTCCCTCCCTGGAGGTGGTGCTAAAACCAGGGGTGAGGTCTTCTGTGGGGGTGGGTCGGTTCAGTCAACGCTCCGGGAGGGTAGAGGGGCTTAGGTCCTTCACAGGGTGGAGCCAGTCAGTGACTGGGCCTTCTGTGGGGGCAGAGCTAGTATGGACCTGTTTCTACTGGGGGCAGAGCCCGGAGTCGGAGCGGGGCCTTCCCTGGGGGGCGGTGTGGGAGCCTGGGCTGAGCCACACACTCGCTTTCTGCTGGTGCAGGACGCACGTGGTCCGGCATTACAAGGTGAAGCGGGAGGGCCCCAAGTACGTGATCGACGTGGAAGAGCCGGTGAGCGTTGGGCCGGGGTCCCTAGAAGTGTCTTTGTGGGGTCCGCGTCTCTTCCCCAACAGCCTGACCCCTCCCCCATCTGCCCCCAGTTCTCTTGCACCTCCCTGGACGCCGTGGTCAACTATTTCGTGTCGCACACCAAAAAGGCGCTGGTGCCATTCCTGTTGGACGAGGACTACGAGAAGGTGCTAGGTGGGTGCGCCTTCGGGGAGTTCGGGGGCGCAGTCCTCACCTCTCCCGCCCCCGCTTGGACGGACGGGGCCGCCCCTGGCCGCTGCGCTTCCTCCAGGACGCCTTCTCTGTTCCAGGCTACGTGGAAGCCGATAAGGAGAATGGCGAGAGTGTGTGGGTGGCGCCCTCCGCCCTGGGCCCAGGTGACGCCCCCTCCCCGCGGGCCGAGGTGGGAGGGATCGAGGACCCCGCATTCAGCCACGCCCCCTCACTCAGCTTGGTGGCTGCACCGCCTGTGTCTGATGTTGTTCCCAAAGTTGCAAGGACAGAAATGACTCAGACCCTGCCATCGGGGTGTGTGTTGGGGGAGAGGGCGGGAGTCCCAGCTTGGGACAGAGCTAAACACAGACACTCTCATCCTGTAGGGTCGAATTTGGAGGAAAAACCTGGGCTCGGCGGAGGCGCCTAGAGTTCGGGAGAAGATGGGGGCAGAGCAGGGAGAGCTTCCTAGAAGAGTGGGTCTTTGTAGATGGTCCCAAAGGATCTTCTTAGGTAGAAATGGGCATTGAAGGGGTCAGAAGGTGCATCTGGAGAAGCAGTAGCCCCCCAGGAACTGGGAATCAGGGTGGGTGTTGGGAAAGAGGTGGGAATCGGTCCTGTTTATGGAGTGAGAGGAGGAGGCAGAGAACACACTAGAAAAGAACGTAGCGTGGGTAGTCTGGTCTTCCCTGGGCTGGGCGTATGCAAGGACCCCCAAGTGCCACATCCACACACACATGCATGATTCATGAACTATGGCCACCTGCCTAGCCAGAAGTTGACATACACTTGTGTGGCCACAACAGATCCACACATGCATGAATACACATGTCCCCCAATTCCAGTCACATACACACGCTATGTAGCACAGATACACCTGTCTCATCCCACAATCACGTGTGTACACATAAATGCAGACGCATCCATGCACAGGCACAAAATCAGACATGTTTAGATACATGGGCATAACACATTCATCTAGACAAGGACTAAAGCAGCTACCTTAGCAGGTGTGCAGAGTTACACATGTATACACACAACAGGCATGTTTGTACAAACCTGGTACTTTAACTTATCCAGATTCAATTAGTGTGCATGCATATGCCATACAAAGACATACAGACCTTTTTTTTTTTTTGAGATGGAATCTCGCTCTATCACCCAGGCTGGAGTACAGTGGCGCGATCTCAGCTCACTGCAACCTCTCCCTCCTGGGTTCAAGCGATTCTCCTGCCTGGGATTACAGGAGCCTGCCACCATGCCAGGCTAATTTTTATATTTTTAGTAGAGACGGGGTTTCACCATATTGGCTAGACTGGTCTTGAACCCCTGACTTCAGGTGATCCGCCCACCCCGGCCTCCCAAAGTGCTGGGATTACAGGTGCGAGCCACTGCGCCCAGCCCAGACAGACAGACTGATACATGGGGGCACACAGACACACACGGACATATGCATGTCTCCAGGCACGCACACAGACCCCCCACCAAGGTGTCCCTGTATGACGAGGGTCTTGACAATGACCACCTTTCCCCATCAGGTCCTACACCCTGCACAGGTGGCCCCAAGCCCCTGCCACCTGCATCTGTGCCTGTGTCCAGCCAGGATAAGCTGCCCGTGTTACCCCCACTGCCCCCACTACCGAACCAGGAAGAGAACTACGTGACCCCCATTGGAGATGCCCCAGTTGTTGACTATGAGAACCAAGACGGTGGGTGGGGAACAGAGCTGCTGAGAGCTGGGGGCTGGGGAAGCAGGTTAACAGCTGATGTGACACATTACACTTTTGTCCACGCAGTGGCTTCCTCTAGTCGGCCGGTCATCGTGAAGCCGAAGAAGTTGCCAAAGCCTCCTGCAAAGCTTCCAAAGCCACCCGTTGGACCCAAGCCAGGTAGGGGTCCCCCCACAAATCCCGCCCTCACCTGATGGCAGGCCAGCCTCAGCCTGCATCTGTCTTTGTTGTTTTTGAGATGGAACCTCACTCTGTCGCCCCAGGCAGCGGTGCGATCTCGGCTCACTGCAACCTCTGTCTCCCAGGTTCAAGCGATTCTCCTGCCTCAGCCTCTCAAGTAGCTGGGATTACAGGCACCTGCCACCACATCCATCTAATTTTTTGTATTTTTAGTAGAGAAGGGGTTTCACCATGTGGCCCAGGCTGGTATCGAACTCCTGACCTCAAGGGATCCACCCCCCCTCAGCCTCCCAAAGTGCTGGGATTACCAGCGTAAGCCACTGCACCTGGCCTCATCTGTCTTCTCTTCCAGAGCCCAGAGTCTTTAATGGTGGCTTGGCCAGGAAGCTGCCAGCCAGCTCAGCCCAGCCTCTCTTCCCTGCAGCTGGTAAGGGGTCTGTGGGGTCAATGCGGGGTGCCTTCCCAGGCGTGTGACCATGCAGTCACACAGGGCCTCACACTCCGAAGCAGCCTGTCTTTTAAGGCTCTGCTATCTCTGTCTCGAAATTCCTAGTACCTTCGAGCACACTGTCATGTTGCATGGGCCCTGCACATCGTAGCTGGTCCTGGGTGGCTGTCAGTGGGCAGGGCATGGACTGGGGATCCCTGGGCCAGCTGCAGCTCCCGGTCCTGAACCCCCAGGGCTGGCGGACATGACGGCAGAGCTACAGAAGAAGCTGGAGAAGAGGCGGGCACTGGAGCACTGATTCGGACACGCCGGGGACCAGTGGGCCAGTCCCAGGGCATGGCCCAGGGGCCAGATTCTTTCTCCCAGGATTAAAACTCTGACCCCAGGACCCATGTGTCTGGTTTGGCTTGGGGGAGTAGGGGACGAGGGGTCCGTCAGATGTCTGCCTACGGATGGCCCCATTTACTCCCAGTGACCCTCAGCTCAGTGAAATCTACCAGCGTATCCTGTGAGAAAAGCCCATTTTACAGCCAGGAAGGCTGAGGTCCCAGTGCCACACAGCAGAGAGGACCACCCAGGCCCAAAGAACCAGCACCGTGGCCTGGCCTCGCCAGTGTTTGACCTTTATTAAGAGGTTAGGTGGGGAGGAGGGCCCGCCAGGGTGCCCACTCCCTCTTGGTGACCCCCATCCGGAGTTAAGGCTCCAAGCAGCAAATGACAGAGGAGGGTGCCTGGCTCCAGCAGCCTGGGCCTGGCAGCGGCTCCCCCAAGAACACCGCAGCTGGGTGGGTGCCTGGGGGCCTAGGTGAGGCTGGTGTTGGAGCTGCTGGTAGCACTGCCTCGCTTTTGCAGGCAGCGCACAGAACTGGGGACCTGCAGGCCTGTGGTCACCTGGAAGCTGCCACACCATACCTGAGGGAGAGCAGGGGGAGATGGGAGGGGCTCAGCTTCGAACCCCAACGCCCGGTACCACCCTCCCCTCCCCCCGGGCCGCGGAGGGCAGCTCACCGTGAAAGCAGGCAGCAGCGGCTGTGTGAACCTGGCCTTGAAAGTGTGCAAGACTTGTTTGGTGCGGGCGTTGTAAAAGGACAGGAGGCCTGGGGTCGGGGGACAGAGTGACAGTGGGAACGGTCAGAAGTGGGATGGGGGAAGAGGGAGGGGACTCAGGCAGGGGCAGCCAGAGACGGCAGCTGGGGCTTGGGGTCACCTTGGTGGAAGTCACAGTGCACACCCAGGCAGTCGGGCACGGGGGCGTCCAGCACCTTGACCTTGTTGGCGTGCTTGGCCGTGAAGCTGACCTGCAGCCAGTTGTTGACATGCAGGCACCAGGAGGCGGCCGTCTTGCCCAGTTGTTCGAAGCGGCCCAGGCTGCGGTAGGCCACGCCCACACCGAACGCCTTGCTGTCTGGCTCGTAGCGCACCTCCCAGTAATGCTCCCCGCCATCGATCAGCGTGTCCCCTGTGGCGCGGGGCAGGAGGGGTGGGCAGGAGAACTGGATAGAACCAGGCCACAGATGCCCTTCCACAAAGGGCCAGCCCCCAAGGTGCTCCCTACACCACAGCTGCTCCCTTCAGATACCCCTCAAGTTCCTAGCTGTACCCCCCAGATACTCCTCAAGTTCCCATCTATTCCCCCTAGACACTCCTTGGGCCCCAGCTATTCCCTCCAGATACTCCTTGGGCTCCAGTTATTCCCTCCAGATACTCCTTGGGCTCCAGCTATTCCCTTCAGATACTCCACTGTCCCTGCTATTCCCTCCAAATATCCTCAGACCCCAGTTATTCCCTCCAGATACTCCTTGGGATCCCGGGTATTACCTCCAGATATGCCTGAGAGTCCGAGCTATTTCCCCCAAATACTCCTCGAGTCCAGTTATTTCCCCCAGATACTCTTCAGGGTCCCAGCTATTTCCCCCAGATACTCCTTGGTCCCAGCGATTCCCCTCCAGATGCTCCTCAAGTCCCAGCTATTCCCCTCCAGATACGCCTCAGTCCCAGCTATTTCCCCCAGATATGCCTCAGTCCCAGTTATTTCCCCCAGATACTCCTCAGTCCCAGCTATTTCCCCCAGATACTCTTCAGTCCCAGCTATTTCCCCCAGATACTCCTCAGTCCCAGCTATTTCCCCCAGATACTCCTCAGTCCCAGCTACTTCCCCCAGATACTCCTCAGTCCCAGCTATTTCCCCCAGATACTCTTCAGGGTCCCAGCTATTTCCCCCAGATACTCCTCAGTCCCAGCTATTTCCCCAGATACTCCTCAGTCTCAGGTATTCCCATAAAGTTTCACAATTATTCCCCAGATATACTCACTTTTTTTTTTTTTTTTTTTTGAGACGGAGTCTGTGCTCTATCACCCAGGCTGGAGTGCAGTGGCGGATCATCCAGCAGCTCTTCTCGGGTCTCTACGCCATTCTCCTGCCTCAGCCTCCCGAGTAGCTGGGACTACAGGCGCCCACCACCTCGCCATGGTTTGTATTTTTAGTAGAGACGGGTTTCACCGTGTTAGTCAGGCCTGATGCCGATCTCCTGACCTTGTAGTGCCGTCTCGGCTCCCAAAGTCTGGGATTACAGGCTTAAAGCCACATCCCGGCCTATTCCCCCAGATACTCCTAAGCCTTATCAACTTCCTCCAGAAATTCAGTAGGCCCAGACACTCCCCAAGCTTCAGTTACTCCTTTCAGATTCTCTATAAGCCCAAGCTCCTCTATTCCCTCCAGATATTCCTTGATTTCTGGGTATTCCCCCCAGATACTCCTAAGCCTTATCAACTTCCTCCAGAAATTCAGTAGGCCCAGACACTCCCCAAGCTTCAGTTACTCCTTTCAGATTCTCTATAAGCCCAAGCTACTCCTTCCAGACTCCTCCAGGCCATAGAAACTTCCTTCAGTTCCTCCCCATGTCCAAATGCCCCTCAGTTCTTCCCAGAAACTAGATCATCCTCAAACTCTTGTTCCTGGAAGACTCATAGTGTTCCCACAGCCTTCAAGTCCTCCCCGAGTCCAGATGCTCCCCCCAGTTCCCAGCTCTGGCAGGGTCCAGATGCTCCCCCTACTTCTTGGCTCTGGCAGAGTCTAGAAGCTCCCTCTAGCTCCTGGCTGTGACAGAGTTCAGATACTCCTCAGGACTCAAGACTCCCTCCTCCTGCTCTCTGAATCCAGATTCTATCCAGACCCCAACTCCGCGTGGAAGGTAGGTTCTCCCAGGCCTCAGCTACTGCCGAGGCCAGAAGTTCCCCCAAGGCATTCCTCAAGCCAGATACTCTCCAGGCCTCAGCTCCTCCTGGAATCCAGGTGTTCCTCAAACCTCCATTACACTCTCCAGGAACCCTCTGAATTGGGATACCCCTTGGCTTCAGCTCTGTACACAGTCCAGATTCTCTCCAGAGCTGAGATCCTCCCCAGGCCCCAGATCCAGGTTCTTGCCGTCTCAGCTACTCCTTCACCCAGTGCAGGTATTCCATGAACTTCAGCTTCTCCTCATACTCTTGCCCCTCCCAGATCACAGCTGATCTTTGCATCATATCTCAGCTCCTCTCCAGATACAAAATGAACCTCTATATACATGTCTTCTCCAGGTCTGCTCCTCCCTGATCTCAGCTACTCCCCAAATCACAAATTATCCAGGCCCTTTCCCAAGGGTTATGTCTCTCTCTTTCTCTCTGTTCCTCTCTCACAAATCTCAGCAACTCCAATGACAACTCCCTATATCTTCTGCTTCTCCCTAAACCAAAGTCTCACCAATCTCTGGTGCTCCCAAGAAAATCTAGATCCCCACAGAACCATAACTGCCCCTCAGGCCCTAGCTTATCCTCATGACCCCAGCTACCCCCTAACTTCCTTCTCCCTAGATATTCCTGACCACACTGACTTCTTCATACTTTAGCCTCTTTCTCCAGCTCTATTCTGAACAGTAGCAATTCCCCTAAACTCCAGTTCCTCCACTAACTCCAGCTTCTTCTTCACAGGATCCAATCATTCCTATGCTGCTATCGACTTCTCTTCAGGCTGCTCTCTCTGGCTCCTCCACATACCCTCAGACAATCCCCCAAAACTCCTGCCCGGCTTCAGCTTCCCCACAAACCCAGCTGCTCTATAGGCAACCATTCTTTCCAGCCACTCCTCAAATCCCAGCTACTCCTCAAGTCCCAGCTACTCCCCAGGTCCCAGATACTCCATGGAGTCCAGACAGTTGCCCCCAAGCTCCTGCCCAGGCACCATCTGGTCCACAGTCTCTTTCCTTCACTCCATAAATTCTGGCTTTCCCCAGCAATCCCTTATCCCCAAATATTTCCTCTTTGGCAGTGACAGAACAACCTATTATTCCAGGAGCAGCTTTGCTGATGGCTGCCTGTTTCTGCAGCCAAAGGCAAAGCTTCTCCCTCAACTCCCACCATTAGGCCCCTGCCCAAAACTCCCCTCTCCCCTTTCTTCTCCCCTTCCTTACCCAGCACTGTGTAGGACTCAGCAGTGAAGCGGTCCCGTCCCCCACGACCTGAGGGCATCCTCTTGGGAGATGGAGTACCTCTGTGGTGGGCAGGAAGTGGGCAGGCTCAGGAGACTCAGTTCAACACTCATCTCTCCCAGGGTATGGCTCCCCTAGTCCACCCCAGCCACTGTGGATGTTGGGTCAATCTCTGGCAGTATTTGCCTCTTTCTATACATCGAGCATCTCATGTTTATGTCAGAATATGCCTGTGCCCTCTGTCATCTGGGAAACTCCTATTTACCCATCAAAACCCCACTCAAAATCTCCTCTCCCCTCATTCCCTCTCTGGGTTCCCCCAGCCCCGGGTCCCCTCTCCACCCCAGCTGTGACCACACTGGGCTCTGTGTCCATGTCCAGATTGATCTTCTCCACCAGAGACTTAGGGAGGGGAGGGGGCAGGCTACCTGGCCGGGGAATTGATGGGAGACGCCGTCCGCCCCTTGCCATCTTTCTCGCGAGCCTTGATATCCTGCACCTTCCCGCCCATAGCGTCCCACTCCACGGAGAGATCATCCACCCGCAGGTTCTGGTGGGATGTGGACGCATCCAGGCGGAACATGAACGCTGGGGCCGGGCAGACGTGGGAGTCACAGAGATGGGGAAACCCGGAGAGACACAGAGAGAGACAGAGAGACAGACAGTGACCAAGACAGACCAAGACAGGGACAGAGAATCAGAGAGCCGAGGAGACAAGGGTCCAAGACGGAGACAGAGAGACCAACAAAGGCTCAGAGAGAGACAGATATAGAGACGGACCAGCAGAAACACAACAGGAGAGACGATATGGCAAAGGGCAGAGGGGACAGAACATGGAGCCAGAGGCGCGAAGGCCAAGGGCTGTGGCCTAAAGGCCTCCCTCCCAGGTCTGGAAGCATTTTTTGTTTGTTTGTTTGGAGACAGA